CCACGGCAATGAATCTTGTGTTTTTTGCAGTTGTTGCGATGTTCTTCGCCGTTGACCTCCAAAAAGCTAAGCTGCCAAAGAAATCTACTTATTGGATCCTGGTTGCCTTTGTAGCGTTTCACGGGATTGTTCATTTTATTCTTTCGGTAAGCCTCAACTGCGGATACAGAAGGACTGCTTCCGAGTTGTTTCATTTCTTTGAAACGCATCATTACAGTCGGAAATTCGTAGTATTCAGCGTGGTACGGGGATGTAAAATGAATTCTTCTATTTCGTTTCTCACAGATCATGCAATGCGTATCTGACAATAAGCGGAGAGACAATCCCGCTGATGTTTACCCCATGAAAGAGATGGGTGTTGGGCAGAATTACTACTACCCACAAACCAAGCAAGATGTGCCAGTAAGTACTTCTAAACCCGTGCCTAACCAGAACACCGATATAACCGTATGCAATCTAACTTGCAGGGAAGCTGTTTGAGAAAATTCATGCTCGCTTTTTACACGATCGTGAACCTTGGATTTACGGCTGTTCTAGTATTGATGGTGATATTTGCACCCATCGAGAAAACTTTGGAGGAATGGGGTCTGCCGGTCGTGGCTTGAATGGTTTCCGAAGATAATTGCCTTGGTTGTATCAGTGCGCTTCAGAACTACAATTTTTCTACCAAAAGCCCTCCGATTCTTGACAGTTCTATGTATCGCCTTCCGCTGGTAGCGATTGTTACGGCATTATGTGAAACGTCTTCCTAGGCCGACAACTGTTACAGTTTCTGGAACTTGCAGACTGCTTATTGGGACCATTTAGGAATCTTTCTCTGAGACTTGGAAGGACGAGATAAGAATCGATTTATCTTGACGCTTTGTGCTAAAAAATAAACAAGGGTCGTCGCGATCTTGTTGATTATCTAAGAATGAAGCTCAAACTATTGTTCCGGCAATTTGATATACAATATATGTGAAAAAGTGATGAGTGAACTGTTGACAAATTTTCTATTCACGCCCCCTCAAGAAAATTAATTCATAAAATTTTTAAATTCAGAAAACCTGATTATTGCAGGAAGGTTAAAAAGCCGTTCACTGAAACATGATGTATTTCCAAAATGTGCTTTGATGTACGACTTGTGCAAATGATTATACAATGAGCGAATAGATGAAATTTTTTTGCACTGCATCATTATTTATCTTCAGTTAGTCGGAAATGGGACGGTCGGACATGACAATAATGACATGTTAAGGAATCTTCACGAAACGATGCTCAAGCTCATAAACACCAACACTAACTTTCGCACAATCATTGTAATCCATCCATTCTCTTTCAGTGAGATCAACGTCGTTGAATTTTTGGTGAGAATTTTCTACTTCAACACGCCAGCCTTTCTGCAAAAGATAAGTACAAATTATTCTGAAATTTTCAACTAATTCGTGAAAATAATTTTCTCACTGTTGGGATAAAATCGACAAGTTCCAGACCGCGGCAGTCAAATTCTGCAATTGTTTTGAAGTTTTTGCTCTCAATACCGTAGTAAGGCTGAAGTGTTAGGGACAGTAAACCTAGTTTGAAATTTTCATTCTACCAGAATCTTTACATCAATAATGTTGCTCGTTTAAATTCTTACTCATGTGGTTCTTGCCATAACACATTTTGCACTTGTAATGTAGCATAGCATGCCCACGTCCACCAGATAACGCTTCTTTGTCAAACCGCGTAAAATCCATATTTTTCGTGACCTCCCCACAGTGAAAAGCTGAACGCACACTGTTGAACTGCATGCCTTACCTTGAAAACCCAAAGATATGCCTCATCTTGAATATTCAACTTGGATACGTACTCCAAACGTGCCTTAATCTGAAGTCCAATCTTCACCTGCCATGTGAAAAATGACATCTTGTACAAAATATGGAACACGTGGGAAACTCACCATCATTCATGAGACAGTTTTCATCCGAAGTTCTAAAAGACTTCCTCGATGAACAAAAATATTGTCAGATTCGAAAACTGAGCAAGTCAAAAGATATAGCTATCATCAATGGATATAGCCAAGAAATTTGAACAGTGAACAGAATCTCCAGCCAACACTGTTAAGCGGGTTGTTCGTACATTTGCACCCAACTCCCGAGCTCAGCGTGAAATTAACCGCAAAAAAATAACCCCAGAACATCAACGCTGATGAAAACGTATACAAACCAGCATAACTCGTGGGATCAAATTCACGGTAACGTTTCAGAGTGACCAGGAATCAAATAGCATCAATGGCAGATTTGGAACTGCTGAACTACTGTACCAGCCGAAATTCATCTTGCAAAAACTCCCAACTCCATTTCGTATCACATGCGCAAAAACGAGTGTAACACAACTCCAGAAGTCCTGGGTGTCTCTGACATCAGGTTCATAAAGCTTAAAGTCTTCATCACAAAAAATGGCCATTTCAGACAAAAAACACAACTGGAAGACCTCAACATCAAAATAAACAAGAAAACAACCGAGGGCATCACGACATAACTTATGTTCTTGAAAAATAAAAATTTTGTCTACAGAAAAAAGCGTACAGTACTTCACCCAGCGAAGGATGAAAACATCATCTATCCTAATCGTCACAAGTAGAAGAGCAGTGCTAATGAACAAAAACCGTCGGAATGCCGGATGTGGAGTATCGGACACTAAATCACTTCTTGATCAATCGGAATTCCAGATTTGAGATCGAAACAGCATTGGAAGATATTTCATCTTGACTTTCCCAATCGCTGTCGGATAGATTGACACCTTCAAATCTGGCACCACTCCCGCCGGTTTCAACTACAAATCCAAACTGATGTTGAATCAGATACATATGAATGAAACGGGCGAAATTCTAAAACAAAACTCACGCTATGTTCGAAATCAATTGGCTCCAAACCTCCACAAAAGAACATAATAGTTTTGAAAGCATCGCTGTCTTCTGCATTGTACGACATAACACTACTCAGGATGATAACTGCGAGGAAAAATGAGAAATCAAAATCTGAAGGGCTATTAATCAATTAGGATAAGACTTACTTAGAAAGTTCTCTCATTTATACAGAACTTGCAAAAGTGAACAAAATTTGCAGATCCTTTCGTAGTTTTGAGCTCAACTTCATCAACAATCGAGAAGTACATAAAGCGCTTTGATTTGTCGCCACATGTGGAGCATTTCACCTTAGAAATGCGAAAAAAAATTTGATTGAAGCTGATGAACGCAACATTTTGTGGGCGTACATTACCTTCAAATGCCAACGGAAATCCAGCAAATCCAAGAATATCTTCGCTACGTTGTGTAACTGAGCACAAAGCTGCAAGTGTACTCTCCCCTGAATCGGAATATTCCATCATACAAAGAGAAGTGGAGCTGAAACCCAAAAAAAAAAACTTGCCATTGCAAAGCTGCCGCGTCGACGTATACTCGGATCGATCGTCGTTCGCAGGAGACAAACTCCTTGCTGTATGAAGATTCGAAAAACAACCGTATCTGAAAAGCATTAAAAAGAGGAATAGAAAGGGGGAGACCTCGATACTGCCCCCCAACTTCGACCTACTGCGGGCATCCGATAATGGCAAGACCTACCACTAGGTGTCATTGCTGCAGCCTTTGAAGGGTTGGCATAAGTGAACAGGTGGTGTAGAATTACCAAAACCCCTGGTACAAAGCAGGCTCAGCGGCATATACGGCATGTTTTTGCATATACGAGTTGCAGGAATTGGATTTTGAAGTGTTTTTTGAAGGCTCTTTGTTGGAGGGATTTATTTAGACGTCAACCTCTAATTCTCAGGTGAACATCGAATCGAAGCTTTGTTCCAATTAAGAACTATGAAAGCTTTCAAAAAACTGCTGTGATCGAGTTTCTGTTCCCCGTCATTATAGATCTTCTTTTTAATTCATAAGATAACCTTTGAATAGGCTTACCTCAAAGGCATTTAAAATATCATTTTAGCAGGACTAGAGGACTTCCTGTAGTAATTTGTGGCAACTTCATGGTTACCAATTGCATCAAAACTGTAGTATTTTCTCAATATAAATAAATAAAGTGAGACCCCCACATGCAGACGCCTTGACATGGGGACATTTATTTTTAAAGAAAAAAATCTTAAAAAAGACCCAACATGAGGACACTGACTCAACTTGGGGACATTACAGGATAAAAATCGATTTTTATAAGGCTTAATTCTATTCTATTCTATGCACTATTCAATGTTCCAAATGTTCTTATTGGTTTGAAAAGATACACTGATTATGTCCGCATCTGGGAGTCTCACTCATTTTTTAAAATTATTTTTAATTCCGCCTGCCGTTTTCTATAGGTTTTCTGGTAGCGACACCTGTATGACGCATGTAGACTTGCGGTGAGGATACCGCGGGCATTTGCCGCGCCTGGCTGTGTGCTGTACGGTTAAGTTGGGGGGCAGTATTGAAGTGTACCCCACTTTCTTTCCGATTGCCACTGCCGCCTCAGGTAACAATATAGTAAGGGTGCCCCCTCACATCTTCCAGCATCACCTATTGGCAAGATCAGTAACCGACCATTCATCCCACCCATAATCGCGTTATCTCACACATGATCTGAAGGCGCATAGAGGGGGGGGGGGTGACTTGGGAGACGGCTTGGCGTCACTTCGCTCTGAACACTTGACTTGTGATCATCTCTTTTATCATCTGACGTTATTTATTATGACCTGGTGCTGTGAGATTATATGACGTGTTTTTAGAAAACGTGAGTCAAAGTCTTACTCCGACAGACAATTACTTATTGGGGGCTAGTAGCCACAATACAGTGATCGATGCTGCGTTGACACGCCAGCACCAATATGCCACGCACTTCTGAGAATTCTAAAGCTGCGGCTGCGGCTGCGCTAAAAGATTTGGCTCCCATTCCGGAGGAAGAAGATGACGAGTTCCAGGATACCAACCCTTCTCCCCAGGAGCATCGTTTGGAGTCACAAGCGTCAGGAGAGTCCTCATTGAGCATCTGGGAGGCGTTACCTTTAACAACTCTCCAACTTCTGGCGGAGAAATTCCATTTGGGACATCCAGCCACCGCTGCAAAGGCAGACTATGCGGCTCAACTGGAGCGTTTTCAAATTCCTCTCACCGCCATTCAGGACCTGTCATGTGGCACCATTGCGGCACCGCTCAGGGTTCTTCATTCCAATGACGATGACGTAGCCGTACCACGGTGTACTTCTCAGCGACCTCAGTGGCTTCTCGACTTACAAGCGCCGAATCTGCCCAAGCAACGGGCCAAGGAGGATTCTGAGGACTTTGCAACAAGACTACGCAACGCGTTAGCAGTCGGAAAAATCACGGATGAACATCTGCTCTCCGCCCTCTTGGAGAACATGCTGCCCAACATCCAGTCAACAGCAAATCGGATGTACAAGAGAGGCATCTGCGAGTTCAAACAACTTGTGGAAGCAATTGCCCGTTGTCATCCGACCCCGCATTTGGATCGCCTCAAACGTTTTCAGACACTCCAGCTCAAGAAAGGGGAAAGCTTCTTCAACTTTGGGGAAAGACTTTGTGAGGAGTACAAAAACTATCTTCAACTTCTGCTCAATGACGTGGACGCCTGTGAACCTGTTATCCAGCATATCCTGAAGGAGCAACTTGTGAACAGTGCGGAAACCAGCCTCAAGGACGAGTTACAAAAGAAGTGGGGCAAGAATCGCCAATTATTGTGGGACGACCTTGTGGACATGGCTGAAGCAAACCGGCTAAACCACCCCTCAACCACAACGGGTCAAGCCTCCAGGAAAACTGGTTCGCGACCTCGGGTGGATTTACCACTGAAACAATGGTGTGATCTCCACAAGAGAACAATGCGGCACGGGACGCAAGAATGCAGGCTGTGACTTTGGCAGCAATCTTTGGACAAAACGGGTGCTAAACCAGCTACGGGGACTTCTTCATCATTGAGTTCGCAAGGAGCGGACATTTCTTTGGTTGTTTGTTTTCATTGTCAAAAGACGGGTCATTATACGCAAAAGACTGCCCTCAGGCCCAGGGAAACGGGAAAGCGTAACAGTTAACGCGGCGCACTGTTTTGTCACATCTCTCCAAGCCGCCCCCCCACCCATTCTCCTTCAGATTTTTATTTTGGATCATGGGTTATCAGCGCTCCTGGATACAGGCGCGTCACACTCGTTCATTTCTGATTCTGTTGTTCAACAGTTGAATCTTTCCACAGCATCTTTACAGACATCGGTCGGGACTGCCCTAAGCCCAGAGGCTGTGCAGGTCACTCAAGTGGTTGAAACATCTTTTGATTTTCAGGGAACGTGTCACGTGGGCTCTTTTTTAGTATTACCAGGAAGGAGGGAATTCCCAGTTATTTTAGGTCGGACCATGCTTTTGCAGTTGCCACTGACAATTAATCTCAATGGGAAACATCTTTTCACCGGGTTTCATGAGGTAACATGGCCGCCCGCCAAACCGTCCTTACAGATCTGCACTGGAATTTCTTTTTTTGATGGTTTGCCACACGAGCGTGAAGTGATGACGCATATTCTCTGCCATCATTCCCCACTCATGCGCCAATGTTCGGGTCGCCGCGGGTTATTTGTGGATTTTGTGGTCCGAATTCCCACGGTCAAAGCGTCACCACCGGCCGCGCGTCAATTTCGCCATTCCGTTGAGCGTAATAAGCCCTTTGCAGAAATCATTGATCTTTATTTGGAAGCAGGAATTTTAGAGCCTGCAGTATCGCCCTTTAACGCTCCGGCCTTCCTCGTCAACAAGGAGTGCCTGGATCCATTGGCCCCGGCAGAGAAATGCTTCCGGTTAGTAGAGGACTTCTCCGAGCTTAACAAGTTGATCGTCGCGGACAACTATCCTATGCCAACCATGCAAGAGCTGCTGGAGGCACTCAGACGTAACAATCAATACTTTTGCACACTGGATCTGCATGCCAGCTATCATCATCTTCTGCTGGCTCAGGAGGACATCCGTATGTTGAGGTCACACTGTACGGTGTATATTGTACATAAAAGACTCTCCTTGCCTGAGGGAGATTGCACCATGAACGACCTGACCAGCAACTGCGCTGTCATGATGCTGCGCAGTTCAGCATCATCGGCTCCTGCTGCTGCCTTTCTCCCTCTTCAAAAAGTCGGAGCATTGAACGCTTGCCCCCGGGGGAGACAAAAAAAAAAGATCTGACTGGAACCTTTTTTCGAATCCTTTTAAAAAAAATCCACATCACTGCCATCACTACACAGGTAGTTGTCTATAGCAGCTAGCTCATCAATAGAAAGTTGCGTAACTTTACCCGTGTGCTGGCTGTAACGCACACATCACAGACATATATTGGTCCAACAGTTGGATGCCGACGGGCCGAATGATCCTTTGTTGGAATAGTTTCTAATTTGCATACATAATTTAGCCGATAAGCAGTACGAAAGAATTATGGCTGGCAATTATTATTATTTTTTTTTAACTAATATTTCGAGCCATTCTTTTTTAAAAGTTCGAAGTACAGTACAAGTCTATCCAGAGTTAAGATTTGGTGGGGGTTTTGATTATTTATGTATATGCATGTATACCCATATACTATGGATGAGGTCAAGTCGGGCATTTTCGCGTGGATTGAGCACAATATATACAGTACTCCGTATACTTTTGTTTTCGGACGAGCTTTGAAGTAGAAGTGAATTTGAAAAAACGGAGTTATATTCAGCAGTTTTTTGTTGTTTTTTTTTGCGTCACCCCGGTTTGGATCACGATTCGTAATACAGAAAACCTATCACTTCTCTGGGACATAGAAGTGTATATAGTTACTGCTGTAATAGTAGATCAATTTTGTAAGAAACGTTAATTTAACAACATCCTTCGCGGATTTCCGAAGCATGCAGGCAATACCATGCAGGGATTTTCGAAGTAAAGTTTTTAGAATTACTGTATTTTGTAGCACTTGGATGATAATATTGAACATTTATTCAGCGGGTTTTTTATTTCGTGGCCTTTTCTTTGAACTCCTTCATGATCCAATTTTGGGACCGTTCTGTACATAATAATCGCCAAAGAATAGATCCTAATTTGTTGATAATATGACTACATATCTTCATAAACCGCCAATTTTCTAATGAAATTGGCCAATTCCTCCGACAACCCGCCAGAAAAATTGTATGGAAAATAAATGCAATAATCTAATGCCTTCCCATCATCCCCATCCGTGTCAGAAGCATGTTGTCTTCACTCTTGTGTAAGTAACACGGCCAGTTATTTATACTGCAGTACGATTCAACAATGCGAGTGATACCCAACTGTAACCGAGAGTGACATCTGGATACTGGCATGCGAAACATCTCGTTGACAGGAAACATGCTGTATCATGATGGAAATCGTCATGAAAATTTTGCACCGTATGTTTATTCCTAAACGTGTGAATCATTTCCATGATATGAAAATTATTCTCTCAAAACAATGGCATCCATTCGTTTTTTCCCCCAAAGGTGCGCATTGTTTGAACTG